GGACAGGTGGTCTGTCCTGTCGTCGTCTGTGAAGCGGGACTTGATGTTGTAGCTGCCGCGAGCCAGCATGCCTTTGGGAGCCTCCTCCATAGGCGTCAGGAACTCATACTCCTCCGCCCGGGGCCCGTAGCTCCCTACCATGTAGTCAGTCTTGTCAACTGCGGTGCCAGGAAGGTGACAGTCAGGAAGCAGGATTGGGCCTTCCCCACAACCGATCCCCAAGTCCCTGGGTGGCCACTCCCCTCCTGGGGCTGGCCCCGCCCTCACTCACTTTTGACGCCTTTCCTGTACGTGTGCTGGATGTACTTCATGCCGGACACGATCTCCCGGTTCACCTGCAAGGAGACACCCCGAGCGGGGCTCAGCCAGGCTCTCCAGCCCCGGCGCCCCACCCCTCCCAAGGCAGCCCAGACCCCCGGCACCTCTCCTTACCCGGAAAGAGATTTTTATCCGGTACTCCACACCCTCCTTCAGCACAAAGGATTGCTTCTTGAAACTCTCCAGATCACCTGCGTTTGAGAAGAACGCCACGCTAAGAGGATGGGCCAGGGAAAGCCACCCAGCCCCAGCCCCAGCCCCAGCCCCAGGTCACTCCAAAGCCAGTGCCTTGCAAGACCACATGGCTGCACTTCCTGTGCTCCACACAAGAGGGCGCCCATGCTCCTAAAAACTATTTTTAGGGGATGCAGCAGGGTGCGCAGCAGCAGTCAGGGACCTTAAGAGTGCCCCTCACCTGTCAGGTCCAGCTCCAGGGGGCCCGGGGCACTGCTACACACCAGAGTCAGGCGGGTCACCACGACGTTGGGGACGTTGGGGTCTGCGGAGTGACAGCAGGTTAGGGCTCCACCAAGCAGGGGAACAGTGGTGGACACCTGGGAAAGCGACAGGTGCCCGTGCAGTGCACCCCGGCTGGGCCCACTCACCGGCGGACACGGCCACGCGGCCCAGTAGGGCCTCCTTGTACTTGCGCAGACTCTCGTCATCCTTGTCCAGCTCCTGGATCTCCTGGATGCTCTTCTGGGCCGGGGGCTTGTAGTTGACCGAATGCTCATCCTCCTCATTCTCAGCTGCAATCTGTGCCAGCTGCTCGGCTGTGGGCTCCTGCTCAGCCATACTCACCTCTAGCTGCGTCTGGGACACCTGTGGGTTGGGTGGCAAGGGCTGTGACAGCCAAGAGAGACCCACAGCGTCTCCCCTTCCCACCCTCTGCAGGTCCTGCCGCCGCCCAAGGGGGCCGTGTTGGATCTGTGCAGGTGACCAAGCCCCGACGTGGGCCCCAGGGGAGGTGCATCTTCTGCAACAGGAAGGCAAGGACAGCCAGAACTTCGCAAGGGGTCCCCACACAGGCTCCTGCGACTCAAGAGGTCACGCTTGCCTCCTTGCCCTGTTCACCTCAGGGGAGTCCACTTCAGGTCCAACACCCAGGACTAAATGGGACCTGCAACCTGCTCCTTGGGAAAAGCAGTGACAGCTCCTCTGTTGCCCAGGAAGCTGCAGCACCCCAGCCCCACCAGGCAGGGTCAGGACCAAGCCCTGCTGCTTGTTCTGAGCTGCCCAGGCCCTCACTCCGAAGGACTCCTCCTGCTAGGCTTCCCTGACCAGCCATGCTCCTTACGACCTGTCCTAGCTGCAACGCAAACCCTCGGTGCAGAACACAGACTGGTTCTGTCTCAGCCTGCAAACACAGGGCTCTCCTGGTGGTCAGATAACAGGGCCAGCCTAAATCCCACAGCTAAGTCCTGAAATAGCAGAAGGACCCTAAGTGTCTGCCAAGCTTATCTCCAATTGTGATGATCTGCCGCCTAGAATTTGAAAATTGCTGCAACCATGTGGTAGCCTCAAGACCCTCCTTCTGGGCCCTGGCCCGAAAGAGCCTGGAGCAGTGCTGTCAAAAGGAGGAGCAGTGCATGGAGCAGCCACTGGGCTTCCTTCACTAAGGTTGACCCTCGCACCGCCACCCCCC